GAGCATGAGCATGATTAACCGCACACGGTTGCTACTCCGTTCCCTGCAGTTATAAAGATCACCTGTGATTACACAGAGAACTACCAGATGGTGCTTGTATTGACTACACACTTAGAAATCATTACCGACTTCGGTATTTTTTACCGAACTTTCAACAGCTGAACTGTTCGGTAAAAACCGTCATTTTAATTCATTAGTTTAAAGCTTCAAAAGAAGGAAAACTTCATCAGACTCGATTATTTAAACAAGGCTGACAGTGTTTTGAAATTAAACCAGAGTGAAATTGTTTTTGAAATGAGGGTCAAAATTTTACCGAACGTTCAGCTGTTAAAAGTTCGGTAAAACATTACCGAAGACGGTAATAATTTCCAAGTGTGTAGGTATCATCCTTAATGTGTAAAAATTGGTTATATCTTGGTGATTATCTCTTAAAATTGGTGATCCAATGACACGCTCATCTAGATAATATTGATAAATAGCAGATTTTTAGCGATGGGTTCAATCTTAGATCCATAGGCCAACATTAGAGCCATTTCCCCTAAATATAGAAAAATCACATTCATTTGCGTACAGTGATTTTTTTTCACCAGTAGTAATAGCGCCATTGTCATTCATTGTGTGGAAATAGTGGAAAGATGCATAATGAATTCCGTAATGACTCAGGTCTCGATGCGTCAGCAAAATGAATTAGATTTTTTGCAACTCTGGCTGCAAGCAATCAGCAAAGTATCGTGCAAGTAATACAACGTGATTTTTTGTCCTTCCATGAAAGTTCAAAGTGCTGTTTTTAATTTTCAGTATGTGCATCAGTTTTTGTAAATCACTGTTATTTGACTGATTTTTTTCAAACTGTTATTTTTTGAAGTACAATGGACCAAATATTTGAATTTCTGAAAGATAAATATGCTGGTATTCAAATTTCTGAAATCTCCGCCCTTTGTTGTATGCGTCCTTCCTTGCCCTTGTCTTGCTACATTGCAGGGAATTTAGAAATTTTTCAGTTCCAAGACCACCACGTTATGCAAGTCTCGAAATGTAGATAGTTTATTGATATCTGAGAGTACGAAACTTTTGCATTGTTTCTACTTTTCTGAATTGCAGAGACATGCAAATATTTCAAAAACCAGCAGCAAAAATCATACATAGAAAATTATTGAAAAAAACATTTTAACTTGATTCATATTAAGATCGAATGACAATTTTTGAGGTTTTGGACTTAAAGAATTTTTATTTTGGGGATTTCAGAATGAAGTTCCACGATAAACATAGAGGAATATTGAGTAAATGCCGAAAAACCCTTGTGACCTAGGACTGGCAAAGTAACCCCATACTACTCATTCATCTTAGAAGTTTGGGGAAGTTGGTATATGATCTCCAAGAAGGGCTGGTGGATGCACTTCAACCGTGTCGAAAATATGGTGTAACATTATTTGCCAAAAAGGACAAAATTATCATTTATAGGTAAAGTGCATGAACTGACATTACGCTGCTTTTACTGAATTTAATTATTGTTGTGACCATAAAAATTACATGAGATTTTCGACATGGTTGAAGTGCATCCTCTTGGATGTTATATTAAAATTTATTTTTTGTTGTGTGTTTTGGAGCTTTGCATCGGATATTCGATCTTCTTTGAACGGTGGTTCTCTAACATATGTTTTGTATTTGGGAAGGCTATCTTTCAAACAAGATTTAATTTTTGTTTTTTTGTTTACAACTATTTCTATTTGCTCTGTTGCAAACTCATAAAATATCGATTTTTAAATTATACAAAGAACATTAACCCTCTCCTTTTCATAGTAGATAATATGATTTATAACTATTCGGACCGGCTTTTAATTGTCAATCCTGCATTATTTCTGCTCCTTTCTCCTGTGTTCTGAAGAATAGAATAATTAGCTATTAAATTATATTTTTTTGTATCTTGTTCGTGTATTTGGAAGGCTAAATCGCGTTAGCTTTAAGGAGCCGATAATTTATTGTTCATTGTTTTTAACAAAATTCACTCATTTATATGTCTAGTAGGAGTTTGCTCAAATACTCGCGGCTTACCCGAGGTTAGAGGGCTACATTGTCAAAGGATAGAATCAGGGTAAGAGCTTGGGGAGGGGTTTCGTTGTCTCATCAGAGCGTTGTCGCGAGTATGAAAGGTAGTCCGGTTCTAGATTCGTCCGGAGATCGAACGGCTATGGTGACCAGTGGAAGAACGAAGAGACTCATCGAGAGGGGAACAAGACAAGCAAAACTTAAAAAGAGGACAAAAGACAAAGGAATTAAATTCTTATACTATATATTTGCAGAAACACATAAATCGACTGCATATAGAAAAGATCGAAAAGGCTTCCACACACTTAGAATTGATTTCGGACTTCGGTTATTTTTACCGAACTTGCAACAGCTGAACTGTTCGGTAAAAATAAGGAATTTCAATTCATTAGTTTTAAGGCTCCAAAACAAGGAAAACTTCACCACAATGGCTAGACTCGATTATTCAAACAAGGCTGACAGTGGTTTGAATTTAAAATTTAGTGAAACAGCTTTTAAAATGATGGTCAAAGTTTTACCGAACGTTCAGCTGTTGAAAGTTCGGCAAAATTTCTAATTGTGCAATACGTCTCTGATAGGGATTTTGGGTTTTTTGGGTCTTCCTCGAGGGTGTTCAAAAGTCTCTCTCTGGTGGCGTGATTATCCGTAAATTTTCAAACTGCGTAATCGATGTCAGCGTTACCGTTTCCACACCGACAAATGTTTCTGTCCACGAGGTTCATTCTATGGAGATGCGCATCTTGCGAGTAGTGGTTGGACATAAGCCTACTCATAATGCCAATGAACTCACGACTTAAGCCCACACCTTTACACCACGTTCTCGAAGAAACATTAGGAATAATTGAATGTAACCACCGTCCAAGATTTCCAGTGTCCCAATCGGTTTGCCAACTTGATTAAAGAAAAAACTTTTTTATATTGATTCGATAAATTTACAATAACATATCATAAATAATATTTGTCTAGCACATTTTTGCATTTCAACAGTGCTAACCATTGAACTACGAAAACCGGTTTTAACCGGTTTGAACCGGGATTTACCGGTATCACATTTCCCTTCTGAATTACCGGTTTTATATAAACCACCCAATGCATGAGAATCTCAAATGTAAGATTTGGTTTGTAGATTCACGCGCAAGTTTATTCTCTTAAAAGACTTCAGAGATTTGAGATTTGAGAATGAATATCCAAACACTGGTCTGTTCTCATCCTTTGAAATTTTTATCACTTTTTTTAGTTATTATTGAAATTTTAAAGCCTAGCATGGTAGCCTGTCATTTTTATATTTTGTACATATTCAATCAAAACTAAAATGGCCGGGGAAGTTAACAAAATTTCCAAAACCGTAAAGGTTTTTGACCAGGACCTAATATTGTTATATTAAGGCTCTTCAATATCTGTATAAGCATAACGCGGCTGGTAAAAGTCCAGATTTGGTCAAGGATATACTCGGGGTTTTTTTTTCCTTTGGTTTGTTTTTTCCGTCGATCTTGTTTTCCGTGCTGAGCACCAATGCTACCGACGTGCCAGGAAGGCAGCTCCCACACCTGGACCCTACCTATCGACCCATCAACTCATGAACCGGGGACCAACGGCTTTACTTCCCATCCGAAGGAAGGCGTGATCAGAGATGTTATGCCTCAGAACATCCCGGCGGCGCCGACTGGGATTGAACCCAGGCCTGCTGGGGTGAGAGGTAATCACGCTTACCACTACACCACTGGCGCCGTTATATACTCGGGTTGAAGATTATCTATATTTCTCTGGATATAGCAAATCATTTTGCTTACCAAAACAATATACAAAACATTGCATTCATAAGCTTATAAGGCTCTTTTTTAATTACTACGAAAGTGATTCAAATGAACACTAAAATGAGAGAAAGCGTAAGTAGTTTAAGTATAATTAATGTTTGTATTGTCTCAATATACTGCAAAAACTACTTAAAAATCGTCGTAACCCTTATCAACAATCATCAATTTGAGCAACGGGAAATCCATTACAAAATTTAAAGCTGCCCTGGAGAAAAAAATGAGCCAACGTTGCAACAAAAAAAAAAAATTCACGCAAAAATGCAATGAAATGTACGATTGGCCGGTTCATCAGCGGTTAATCATAATGGGTGAAATTACCCCACACACACGGAGAGAGTGCAATCTCCTCCCAAGCTTCATTCCCTAAACATTTCACCGAACAGTAGTGCTTTTGGTAATGACGTCAACTATTTCGGTCTATTAGAGATTCGCCAATTAACCTTGACCCATCCTCATTAAGTGCGCATTGCAAATCAGTGAACATATGGTGTTAAAAGGTTTTTGACCCTTCTGTTTGCACTCCGAATTCAAGGTAATTAAATGGTTTTACAGTTATCAATAAAAATTCCTGAACCGAAGGGGAAGTGAATTTTGATTACAACGGAGCAACAGGTGTTATCGTGAACCTTTGGACTTGAATCAATGCGTGGTTTCAACGAGCTCTGAATGGTCCTGACCATTATTAACTATACCACTGCAACGAGTTATTAACTTATGCACCGATAATATGCCGTAGAAATCTTCGACTTTAAACGTCATCTATCAAGCTGACAAGGGGAAAAAGGAACGAAACAAATGATTTCCCGTCGTCCAACCGTGGCACCGGTTCTTCGACACGTTACGCAAGAAACGAGGGACGAGAGCACTGCAAAGCAGATCTGCTAACTGCACATCCAGTTTCAGTGCGATTCGGCATGTGTCGTTCTGGATCCGGCCGGGTAGCTAACGGGCCCCTGAGAATGGCGTGTTGATGTGTCCAGCGTCCAATCCGTAAATAGATTAAAATAATATTCTCCCATCACCACTTGATTCAGCAAGGTTTGTCACCCTATGGGAGAAGCGTTTGCCAGCTTGAAAAATCACATTTTAACAAGATGTCAATTAGTTCCGGTACTCATTTCATTCCATTTCTCTTTGCAGATTTCGTCAAGTGGCCCCAAGATCAACTTGTTTCTTTGTCTGTTTTGCTCCCGACTTGATGAGTGCGTATTCAAGCGAAGAGCGATAAGTGAATGAAAAAAGAAAACTTTGACAGACCGAAGAAAAAAGTGAAACTCTGTGACTGAAGTGATATATGCTAGACAAGGTGAATCCGTAAACCGTTGTATACTGTTGAAACAGTTTGGGAAGTAATCAACAACGCTACTGCAAACTTAAAACAGAACGGTGAAGCTAGTGTTTGGTTAAATCCGGATAATTTGATTGGAAAAAAAATCTGAGAAATTGGCGCCCGGAGCAAGTTCGTCAACTGCCGATGCGTTGAAATCTCTCGTGGAGTTCCCATATTTTAGCTCATCTGACGGCTCGTCTAGAACGAACATAGTGAACGGTTGCCTGTGAATATCGATAGAGTGTAGAATCGATCAAAGCGAGAAAAGCAAAACAACGGACAACTAATTAAGGTAATATTTCTCGTTGCTTTTTATTTACTGTTTTATTTCTTCTTGCAAGCGGCTCAGAACGTGGAGCCAATCCGTGTGGTTTTTATAGCTTTCGGCCATCGTCGTCATTTATCGACTTTTCAGGAACGAATCAAGTGCGTGAGAGTGAACGTCCGATGGTGCTATAAAGTTTGAACAAAAGTTCTAGTCCCGGTTTTTACTTTCATCTAATTGAGGTTCATTGTCCCGATCCGGGTGTAGAACAGGCTGGATTCGTTTGTTAGCTTCTAGCCGTGGAGGTGGCTTTTATCGTTTTCTATAACTCGTTTTGGGTAGGGAAAGTGGGGGTAAAATGGACAGGTGGGGTAAAACCCGGCAGGTACTCTTTTTTTTTCGGGAAAACGTTGAGTGTCACTGTTTGGATCATGCACCTTTTCTTGTTTCCTTGTATCATGACAATTGGAACATTTAGTGATTTTTAAAAACTATCAAGTAATGCAAAAATAAGCAAAGCATGTGATGGCATCGTCAAAATGCATTCTAATGTTATGTTTTCATAGGCGAGCTTAAGAATTTTACTCACTAAGTCGATAATAACTGCTACAACCACTAATCAATTTCAAAACAGAAGGTCTTCCGCATTAAATTTTCAACTAAATATTTTAAAAATTGGGTTAAAATTGGCGAACTTTCAACATTTAAAAAATTTGCTTTACGGTAATGTAGAATAGACAAGTATAAAACACTTCTTGCAAATGTTATAAAATGAAATGATATGATTAATTGCTGGATACCATATGAGGATCATTCGTACAAGTTGAAATTTGATGATATTTATGGGAGATGAATAATTTTCCTGAAAATTAAGCTAAATTAATCAAAAACTTTCATTTTTTAGCTGCACACTAAGATTATTTCACAGATTTCTGTGCTGAACGACCTGTACACATTTCTGTTATTTTTCACAGTATAACATGAAATTATTTTTGATGTTTAATTAAAAATGTTAAACACATATTTTATTTCTTTGTTAATATCTGTATTTGGTATATAAGAAGAAAAGTTTAACCAACAGTATGTCTAACGAGATACCATAATACACTTATTTTCCCCATAAATAACATCAATATCCTTATCCAATCAACACACATGTTCTATAACGATTTAAATAACCTTTGTATGACTGGTTTTGGTTGTAAAGTAACTCATTATAATTCTATGCATTTGTGTTACTTGGGTAGGATGTTCATTTTACCCCCATCACCCCTATCCTGTCGCCTCCGGGAAGGTGATTATCGATTTCCCATCAGTACACACCTGCAATGATATTTCGATATTTGATATCCGTTTCGGTAAATTTCTCTCATTATATTGGGTAAGCGAAACTTCTCATCCGAGAAAATTGCGGACAACCGAGCGTATGGCGATGCTGGTTTTTTTTTTAATTTAATTAAATTTGTTTGTCTGTGCTCTGAGCTCAACTGATTAGGCAATTTATTGTCTTTGGGTAGCCATTGGATGCTACCTTCGATCCAGTAAATTGAAGATCGAACGGGAAATGACGCACACTAGCAATTTAACAGCATTTGCCAATTTTAAATACACGAAAAGTGGCCAATGACACTCGTTTCCGGCAGTTATAGCACTTTGAAGGCAGCACGATTCATAAACTGTTTATGATTTGCAAAGTGGTGCGAATCATAAAATTACCACTGTGTATTGACTGCGGTTGGGTTGATCGATATCAAGTAAGCTTGGGATGGAATGTTGGTCGATGGATGATTCCCATTTAAATTATACGTTTTATAATAAGCATTGTATATTTTTAGACATGGCTTTACAGATATCAACGTCTGAAAACAGGAATTTGGTAGGGGTATTCCTATCATATAAGGTTTTGGCGGAAGGTTTTAGATATTTTTAAGCTTAAAGTGAAAATTTTGATTTGTTCGAGGAATTCCGTGAATAAATGTTTACAATACAATTAAAATTCAGAATTTTTATCTGTGTAGAACAAGATGCCAAGAAGTTTATATTCTATGTACATAGTGCATTCATCATTAGTTTCTTGAGATGCTCATACTTTTAGTGGTTTTATAGAAGTATCAATGTCAACAAATTTATTGTTGGTATAATTTAATGATGGAAAGCTATACAAACCTTCCTCATGCAAGCACAAGAGTAAAGACGTGGCCATCAAGCAACTCTGAAAGTAGCAGTTCCTAGTGGGACTACTGCGTAGAATTTCCTACTTTCATTAAACATTGTTCGTATAAAAATAGGCTTAACTACACAGTTCGAAAAAATAGTGTAAATTTCTGTTCAATATGATACACATAAATGGAGCATCAAATATCATATACGTTTACATTATATATCATGTAAAGTTCTGACACATTTCAAGCAATGTAGCAAATATTGTATGCAAGAGCCCATCTTTGTAAACAACATTGTTTGCAAGTTGCTCGGTTCCGTGAAATGAAATATAAGTCTTCGTTAATGAGTGTTTACATCACAATTGGCAAATCAAAGTTGGCACTCGTGGAGAATAGATGAACTATGAAAGTGATGATGGTTTCAAAATTTTACACGGAGAGGTATACGAGTTCAATCTTAAAATGCCTTTATTTTGCAAATTGAGCATTTTATTTAAATCTGGTTAGTACTACATTAGTAGAAAACTTAAGGACTACTCAGTAGATATATAAAATAGAAAAATTAATTTCTTTTCAGATTTTTAGGTGTATGCATAGATTTCAGCTTTTCTACAACTGTAGCAACAACCAGATTTAAATTCAATGCTCGATTTTCAAAATAAAAGCGTTTTAAGATTGCACTCGTATACCTCTCCGTGGAAAATTTTGAAACCATCATCACTCTCATAGTTCTTCTATTCTCCACGAGTGCCAACTTTGATTTGCCAAATAAAATTCGGAATTTTTATCTGTGTAATTTCATTGAAGGTAATTTCTGTAGTTTTCCCTAAAACATATTGATTCTGTTGTAATGTGAACAATGCGCTAACTTATGTTAACGTATATTTCTTCCAACGAGCAGAAATGATTCGAAACATTATTCGTGATTTTCTCAGATGCAACTTTTGAAACATGGGACTGATATGCGTAGAACGGCAATAAAGGGCTGAATGAAGAATATATTGAGATCTACACAGTTTGAAAAAGTAGTGTAAATGGCCTTTACACTTAAATGGTCATATATAATACAAGATTAATGTTTGTGCAAAGCGTCTAGTACATGTTCAATTACCCTATTCTTTGTAGTAATGTTTCTATCCACGCACAGGTGTCGTTAGTGGTATACACAAGTGTCTTTATACAGTATACTGTTTTGTATTGTATTATATGATGAACGACAATAAATTTTTTTTTTTTTTTTTTCCTTTGGTTTGTTTTTTCCGTCGATCTTGTTTTCCGTGCTGAGCACCAATGCTACCGACGTGCCAGGAAGGCAGCTCCCACACCTGGACCCTACCTATCGACCCATCAACTCATGAACCGGGGACCAACGGCTTTACTTCCCATCCGAAGGAAGGCGTGATCAGAGATGTTATGCCTCAGAACATCCCAGCGGCGCCGACTGGGATTGAACCCAGGCCTGCTGGGGTGAGAGGTAATCACGCTTACCACTACACCACCGGCGCCGTTTACAAAACGACAATAAATAAATGATATAGTTTGTATACCTCCGGCAGAACGGCCAGACAGTCGTTCGTATTTTATTTCTTTGATTGTAAAATAACACAACATAGGAAAAGGTCTTGCCCGTGCGCGATCAATAACAAGGGTTTTTCAGAATGTTTAAGACACGGAGCATTTATTGAGATAACAACTCTTGGCGGAGCATCATTTTTAGAAGACTCTTACTCATACACTGTACGATCCTATTATATTAATTGTGTAAAACCAGTATTTTCGAGTAAATTTGAATGTTTACCAAGATCTGACAATATCTGGGCATGAACATGTGATTTCTTTATGTCCTTTGCACCATTATGAGGCATTTTAAGATTTGTAGTGGCAAAACTTTTCAAAAATGCCATTAAGATTGTGAATGTTTGCTCCTAGCTTGGACCAAAAGTTTGTTTTGAACACACTTTCAAATAAATTTTCTAGCTACCAATAAACTGAAAATTCATCACATCCTCGTAAGAAGAAGCTGTAAACTTTGAATTAGGGATCATTTGTATGGCATTAGTGTGAATGAGGAATTATAAAGATCCTTTACTTTTCACATTCTTGAAACTGAATGCAAAAATAGCAGCGGAAAGCTTAAATAATATATTTTGGATAAATTCATCATTCTATAAAACTTGAGAAGTTATGTTTTGTTATGTTATTAGTATGATTGTCATTGTTAGTACTTGTAGTTAATGATTCATCAGCATCTTGCATTCTTGCATTTCCTCTTTAACACTTTGGGTCATTCGTGACTTGTCCAGAGATGAGATTAGAACTCGTGACATTGGCGTGAGAGGTATGGATCTTAACCACTATGCCAGGGCCACCCCCTTCTTACATTATTGTTTGTTCTATTTCTGATGACAGTTCATCAAAACCAACAGTTAGGAAATTGCTATTTTAAGAAGCTGCTGGAGCGAGAATTGAACGTCCGCTTCGTGGCACGCACAGAAACAAGAGGTGACTCCGTTAATTACAAGACAAAAAAATAAAGAATTAGTTATCAAATATTAATATTTTAAGGAGGTTTATCTTTGTTTTAAATATGAGCAGTTCTTAAGAGATTTGTTGTTCTTCATTAGTTGTATGTACCGTTATTGATACTTTCCATGAAATTTCGATTAGTACATGCATGTGATATTTCCCCCCTATATTGCAAGCAATAAATATTGCAGATTTTCCAGTGTTTTATTCATTAGAAGTTCATTTGATACTTATTAGCGGATTAAATGCCAAGTGGTTATTGGTCAAATGATCAATTTGAGCAAATAATATTCGGCCGACCGGCATTAGATTAAATGACACGGAACCATGCATGGAGAC